ACTGTGAGTAAAGCCTATAACCTACTGTGGGATACTCTGGAGCAGTACCCACCGCATAGAGCTTGACATTGGGTTATTATGAGACCACTGGCCAGGATCTTTCAGAAGCCAGAGCAAGCTTGGGAAGTCTGGATGGACACACAGTTTTCTTATGCCTGGCTTAATAATCGATACTAGCAGCATCCCCATAGTGCATAAGGACTGGATCTCTGGGATGAGGTTATATGGGGTTAATTCAACTCTCTACATTTACAGTCTGTGTGATTTGTATGTTTCTCTGTGCTGGCTCCCTGTTGTGTAAAGTGTTAGGAATAATATCTAGCCAAAAGTGTAGTTGTATAACCCACAAGAAGCACTTTGCTCTTTAAATAGCTGTTATCAAAGCAATGATACCACAGGTGTTCTTATGTTTCTTCTTCTTCATCATCATCATCATCATCATCATCATCAGTACTTGAAAAAATACACTGGAAGTGTTAGCAGGAGACTTCTTTAAATGTACAGGTAAGGATGCTTAAAAATGCTTAGACTACAGGCTAAGTTTTTCAAGTTTTCTTTAGTGGACAAGCTATTATGAATTAATAAACAAAATAATTGGTAATAAATTATTTCCAGGCAGAAAATTATTTTACAAAAGATAAAATACAATTGTAACTCCTAAGAAAAATATCCTTAAGTATCTGTTTAGCAATGGGATAGAGTCAAGTAAGAATCTATTTTGTGCCATAGACTTTTCTATTAACAAATAATCTGAGGCTCCAACACGGCTAAATAGAGGAGGAGCCATGCTGGAATTCCTCACAGAAAATCATCTAAAACCACAGATAACTGGAAGAAGGCAGGGACTTACATCCTGATGCCAAAGTTAGTCTGAAATAAAAGACTCATAGATCAAATGAAACACAGGCACGGGACTTTATAAAATGCTGGTGCTGCCCACAGGGAGCCCATGGGCACTTCACCTGCGCACAGAGCAGGAGCAGCATTTGGGAAGTTCAGGTGGACTGCAGTAGCGTGAGAAAAAATATTTGCGTGCTGCTCCTCAGACAAAGCACTAATGTCTAGAATATATAAAGAACTCAAAAAAAATCAGATGCCAAAACTTAAAGACCCAATCCAAAAATGGGCATCTGAAATGAACAGACACTCCCCAGATGAAAAAGTAGAAATAGCAAATAAATATATGAAAAAATGTTTGACATCATTGGATATTCAAGAGGTACCAATGAAAACAATGCTGAGATTTCCACCTCACTCCAAAAAGAATGGCTGCAGTCATGAAATCAACCACCAATATCAAATGCTGCCAAGGATGTGGGGAAAAGGAACCCTTCTCCGCTATTGATGGAAATGTAGACAGGTGCAACCACTATGGAAATCAGCATGGAGATGCCTCAAAGAGCTAAGAGCAGAGGTTCCGTTTGACCCAGCTGTTCTCCCTCTTGATATCTTCCCCAAAGAATTAAAACCATCATACCACAGCAATAAATGCATACCCATGATTACAGCAGTACAGTTTGTAAGACCTCAACCTTGGAAACAGCCCAAATGCCCTTCAACTGATGAATGGATAAAGAAGATGGGCTTTTTGAATATAAAGGAGTACTACTGTGCCATAAAGAAGGATGAGCTTGAGACATTTCCAGGTAAATGGATGGGCCTTGAGAGTGTACTGTTAGATGAAATAAATTGGAGATGTGTAAATACACACTTTTTTGTCTTGTGTAAGAAACCAAAAGTGTTAATAAGGACCAAAATATATAATATATATTATGAATAAGAAAATGTGCAATTTGGAAGGGAAACTACGTAGAGGATAGGGGAAATGAAGGAAAGGAAATGAAAAAAGAAGAAAAACCATGGAAACAAAGCTTTTGTACGTGAGGAGAAGAAGAGTTGAAGGGAGGGAAGGGAAATGGGAAAAAAAAAGAGAAGACTCCAGATAGATCCTGCACAGGTACAGTTCCCTATGATGAATACAATCATCATGTAAGGAAAATATGTACGAATAAAGATTTTGAAAGTACCTGCAATAAAATAAAATACGTCTGAGAAAAACTGAACGATTTCACTTTGAGTCGTAACGTTGCCGGACTTGATGTTCCCTCCTGCCTGTTATACTGTGGTGAGCGCCCCCGCGCTGGGGTCTGAAGGTCAGGGTCGAGAGCGTTTCCTAAAGGAAAGAGGAGCTTTTCTGTCAAGACCGAGGCTGAGCGAGCGCGCAGTGCTTCCCGCAGTCACCCATTCTGCCTCTCGAGAGCGCCTGACACCTTGACCCACGCGGTCCACTTGCGCCATTTTGGTTGCATGGAGATCCAGTCTCCACCTGGGGAACTGTTCGTTTCAATTTACCCTCAGGATTCTTCTAACTTTTCTTATTTTTTCATCTTTTCCCTTACTCTTTTGCTTTATGTCTCTTGCCGTGTCTCGTGTAAACCTCCATGCACTGTGACCTTTGTTATTAAACAGGCAGAAGATCAAGGGATGGATTGGATTTGGGCATCCGTGAGCCCCGAGAGGGTCAAAGAAAGTACCTACAACAAAATGAAATACGTCTGAGGGGAAGTCCTTGCTCTCACTCTCTTGGTGTGAGCAGAGACCCACGGTTCAGTCAGACTCACTGCAACACTGCCGGGCCACGTTCCGGTCTGATTCCCGTTCTCCCTCAGTGCCTGGTGCAGGGCGCAGAGACGACCTCACTAGCTCGGGCGCGGCAAGGACTCCTTACCTCGGACCCCGCTGCTCCAGGCGGGCCACCGCCTGGACACAAGGTTCATGCCCCAGCCAGACCTAAAGAGAAAGAAATTTCCACAGCCCTTATGCGTGTGTTGACTCTCACAAGTGCTGCTCCTCCTCTCCAAACTGAGAGTTGGCCTGAGAAGATCCCTAAAGTAAAAATTCCTAGTCTGAGATGGAAAGTGTTTTCAGGGAAATAGCGAGGGGCCGATAGTTCCCACTCCTAAATTGGAGATGGTGAAGGGCGTATATCCCCGATACAGGTGATACCGGTACATGCACACAGATACCAATATAGAAGGTACAGATGCAGACACAGGCACAGCTCTCGCTAGATATAGATCAGATGTAGATGATATGAGGTAGAGATACAGGTACAGATACAGGCATAGATGATAGAGATGCATAGATACAGACAGACATACACCGAGACAGATAGATGGCTACGTAGACAAACAGACAGACAGGTATCTGGGAACCTTCCGTGTCTTTTGTGAGTCGTATTTTAGAACACTACACATTTCTGATCAGATTCCATAGTCACACAGGGGACACATGAAATCAGGAGCGAGTTTGTTTTCATTCACCCAGTTTAAGTCTACTCATGTCACTCTTCTGTTTAACTCATCCATAAAAACATACAACTAAGAATTACTCATTTTTACCCATTGAAATTTAGCAATATGACTGCTGGTTGTTTCACTGATAAATATTGGGGTAAAAATGTTAAGTATTTTTACTTTTGAAATTCATTTTTTATTTTATAAAAAAATTAAAACTTCATAACAAAATGGGAATAAAAATAGATAATAGACTGGCATCCTTATTTTCAAAGTAGTTACTCAGAGTACAAGACATCCGCAAAAGTTGCTGTCTAAGAAGGAGGAAACAGATATTAGCACAAAACTTTGTTTTCAATGAACTAAGAAAAACTAGTAGCGAAATGAAGCAAATGTGTCATATATACTGAAATGTTTTTGAAAAATTGAATACGTAATTCTGAACCTCCTCCACACTTGCATATATGTAAGCTTTGAGCTTCTCCTAGATGAGAAGCCAGGAGATAGTGAAGCTCATGTCCCACTTACGTCCAGCATTGTGTTCTCGAGTTGTATCCACCCACTCGAACATGCCTCACTCACCCTTCTTTATGCTATAGCAATATTCCATGGTGTGTAAGACTACATTCGCCTCGTCCATCATCTGCTGGTGGACGCGTGTGCTGTTTCCAAGATTTAACTGTAGTAAATGTGGGTATGGATATATCCCTGTAAAAGATGACTTTAACTATCTTGGGAAAATATCTAGAAGGGGAATAGATGTGTCAAAAGGAATTACTATTTTTAGTTTTTTGAGGAATCACCACACTTTTTTTAACTTTAACTACTTTTTTTCCATTAAAATTTTTAAAAATAGAGATGAGCTGACTGTTCTGAATACCAGCTTTGCCGAAGCTGTTTAAGGCTTCTAACTGTGCGTATAGACAGAGTTGCTGTGAGTAGCGTGATACGTGTGAGACTCTTGGCCCACATGAATGAAGTGCACACCCCGTAGGCTGACCTGCTGTGCACTTGTGCTGAGTTCTCCAGGCTCCACAGCACGGCCCCCAAACTGTAACAACCTCAGCCTGTGAAGGGTACTCTTGCTGAAGCAGCACCCTGGGTAGCCCTTGCAGAATGATGCAGCCTAGGTTCAACCTCCATCCTAAGAGCGTAACCCTGTGGGCCAGAACGAGGCAGCCAGCAGAGTGAGGCTCGGTGGCACCTCTTGGGGACGGGCTGGGAGATGACGCCTGGTTTGGTGCTCGCTGACCATTTCATTAAGGCAGCTTATGAGCAAGGAACCTACACACTCTCAAAAAGTGGCTGGGCAGTCCCGATTCTCTTAAAGAACACAGTGATAATCTCTTGCTTGTAATCTGTAAACTAGTACACATCAGAGACAAACTAATCCTTTCCTTCCCGATATAAATGTACATTGAAGGGTTCGTGGGGTTTCTGTGACTTACTGGCAGAAGTTCAGCATTTTCATTCATTGGTTAAAGCTTGCTGTAGATAATAATTATGCCAATGTTTTTAAATCATTCAAACGGTCAAAAATGATTTTTAAATCTTGAAATGGCTTAGGGCAGGTTTTTACTTCTTAAAGGGTTTCTTTCTGCTTATGGAAAATTTTCTTGGATTACGTTCTTCCATCATAGACTCGTAAATGTTGAATGAGTGCAAGACAGGTGGATATATTGCTAAAAATAACCTCTTTCACAGGAAGAAGAACTAAGGAAGAGCGGGGAAGCTAAATATGCCCACTTGAGTGATGAACTTCACGTACTAATTGAAGTGTTTGCTCCACCTGGGGAAGCCTATTCACGCATGAGTCACGCATTGGACGAGATTAAAAAGTTCCTGGTTCCTGTAAGTGTGTTCCACTTCTTACAGAGGTGCTTCTCAGCAGTTTTGGTTTTGAAATATGCCTTTGATCCTCACTGCCTTTTTAGTAAGAAACCCATATTGCAAGTTAATTATATACCCACAAGGTTGATACAAAGCTGCAATGATTAGCATATAAAAATCACTTAGCATGATGCATGCCGTGTCCTCATGCACTGCTGCTTTGACACATGTACGTGTAGATGTTGTGTAGGTCTTCTTTGTGTCTTAATCACCTCATATGTATTTTTGGTAATTTACAGTTAAGATAGGAAACACTTGCAAGTATAGTAGAGAGGGAAAGAGATTTGATATATAATTTATTTTAAATGATTCGGTGTAGTTATATGATAGTATGCCAGGTGCTGGCTCATTATAAGATAGAGTGTAAAATAACCAAAACTAATAGAGCTAGGCATTTGACAAGTTCAAGCGAAATTAAAAAAATAAACTCACTGCACCTTGTGAGAAAAACAGAATGTTCATTTAGAAAGACAGCAAATTCAGAGTTACAAATGGAGTAGAATCCATGGGTTTTCTAAGAAACAGAAAAAGATTAGATGAGTGAAGTTCCCTAAGGGTTCATACTTCAGCGTTCTAGGAAGAGGTCATTCCAATAGGAATCCTGGCTTCAGGTTTAGAGCCGCAAATAAAATATTGAGAAGAAGTGCTAAGTAGTTTTCTGGGGTGTCTGGACAGAAGTGCTCAGCAGAGAAAATGAGTGGCAAAGATTAATCAACAAAATGAAGAAACTGGATAGTTAAAATAAGCAATAAACACGTAGGCAACAGGTAAGATTGACTGGCAGTGATTTGTAGATGTAAAGAAAGAAAAATCAGAGAATTTCCAGAATTTAAAAGCATCAAGATCTAGCTACATGATTTATATGCCCATCTTAGAATTTAATTTTTGTCAAGAGGATGTAGAATAATCCCACGCCGATCTGAGTATTCTTAACTGCTCTTAATTTTTGCACAAGCTATTATCTGATGCTCGTCTGAAACCTTCTCAAAATAGATTCCTTATTTCTTAAGGGTACAGGTGCTATTTTCCCTCTTCCTTTTGCCTTCTAACTAAATTCCTAGTGCTGTGCTGAGTAAGGAGTTTTGCTATATTTAGTTCAGACCAGACCTTTGGTGATACTCGTAGGACAGTGTAAAGCTCAGACTGCTTCAATTTCAGACTCATCTCCTGGCTGTAGTGAAGTCATTTAAATTCACAGAGCTTCAACATTTTCATCTTTAAAATGAAGATAATTACAATTGACTGAATTCTATCCAGTTATTGTGAATATTAAATAGGATAATGCACATAAAAGGACTTAGAACATTACAAAGCCCTATATAAAGGATTTTTAAAAATCTAATTTATTGTTACAGTAGATGGATGTAGAGTGATTTTTGATGCAAAATGTGTAAGACAAGATAGTATTTCATTCTAAGTGTCAATAACATACCTGGATTTCTCCTCCCCTGGGTCCATGGGTGTGAGACTGGGCTGCCAGGGTCCCCCTTGGTGGACGCCTTATCACCATTATTTTGCCTAACCTGATATTTATCTGTCAGACTGATGGACTAGCCAAACAAATCCAGCAAGACTTCTGCAGAGCAATTAAATAAGTATCTGGGTCCCATTTAGGGAAGTGTGCCCCCAAGTCAAGATGCACCCTCGATACAGATCCCAGTGGAGTACAGTAACCTCACCTTAGCTTCAGTGACCTTTCCTACTTCTAGAGCTGTGTGATTTTGATGCTGCCCCTCTGACTGCTCCCTCATGGGCAGAAGACCTCTGGCTTCCTCCACCTAACACACCATGCTCACTGTTTACCATGGCCCCTGAAGTCTTCTCCAAGGTCCTGACACAGCTCTGTCCTGATCACTCAAGCATCACGTCAAATATTAGCTCTGCAGGAAATTCTTCCCCACCTGTGCAGTCTACAGTAGCTGCCTCGATTACCTCCTAGCATATAATCCTGTTACATTACTCACTGATCACCCATCCAACATATGAGTGTGTTGTCCCATTACCCCTGACCCATCCTCACTTTAATTTTCCTATTCATTTTCCTTAGGGATATATATTATATTCCTGGCAGGAAACCAACAATAATATATATGTATGTGTATGTATACATGTGTGTGTATGTGTGTATAGGATATATATACACACACATACACATATATATACACACACAGAAATGTCATGAGGGTACTGGTGCCTTCTCAAGGTTATGTTTATTTATTTTGCTATCACCAAAAGTCTTTCTACCTGATAATGTTTTCCCATCTGCTTGCTTGCTTCAGCACCAAGCAAAGGATGATTATTTGTCCATTTCACCCATCTACAGAGCCATGAGGATCCAAAACTAAAATGCCTTTTTTTTGTATTATTGAAAAATCACTTGGTAATCCAGGTTCCTTCTGATATAAACTTTAATGTTCACAGAATTCCATTAGTGTCTAGGATCAGGACCAATACCATACGTAGAACAACACTGAAGTCTGGTGTCAAGTAGGACCCTGAAACTCCGCTGGCATCCTGTTTCTTTCCAAACTGAGTGTCTTTGTACCTCATTACTCCTCTGTATGATGCAGAATGTACCCAGCTTCTATGTCCAGGGTTTGTAATCATCTAAGAGTACCAACTGTAGCATCTACAATTCCTCATGAAATGAACAAATGACTTAGAAGGTTGGAAACCAACAGAACTTTCAGCACTTAGATGAATTGTTCAAGACAAAGTATTATTTGCAAATTCAGATTGGAGTCTTGTTCAAACAAGTACAGTAGCAGGTCAATGAAACAGCATTAATTTGAAGAGTGCCAATTTTAAATATATAATACTTCAAACAAGAGTGGTATTAAATTTTCTCTTACATTTCTGCTTGTATATAAAATATTGATTAGGACTGTTAACAAATTGCTCGGTGAATAATGACAAAAGGGATATAAAACTGTAAGTTAATATGTGTCAGTAATGTTAGCATACTTCTCTCCCCTTCAGATAGATGTATAAGCACATCGGCAGCATGTGTCCCACTGTTCCTCTCTTACAGATCTGGCCCAGGATTGTTGTGTGTGCTTATACAGGTGTGTTTTGATGGGGCACCTTAGTACCTGAATACAATTCCCTTTCTCTAACCCAAGCCCAAACATTTCTTCAAAGTAATGACAATGCTTTATCTTCCTAAATACACACTCTTATTAAACTGAATTACAAAGTTTGACTAATACTTAATAACTTAATACTTTTTATCTTTATAAAAACAATACATTGTCCCATGAATGGAAATCATGAAGCATTAGCAGAACTTTGCTCATTGAATATGTACATATGATGACCAGGGAGGTTCCATGCTGTCAGGACTTTAGGATCAGTGCAAAGTACCAGAGAGAATGTCCTGTTACCTTCTCTACGACCTGTGAAGCGGACAGTGTGGCTCAGTGGTAGATCACTTACCTGGCACACATGAAGTTCCAAGTTTGATCTCCAGCACATCCAAGGGAAAAAAAGAAAAGAAAACAAAAGATTCCAATAGCTCTGTTGTTGATGTAATTGAGATTACAACACCACTTTATTGAGCCCTACTGGTCTCACCAATAGATAATAGATAGCATTTTAATATCATCAAGTTGACAGAACTTGAAAAATTTTGTCATGCCTAGCTTAAGATTCTAATGACCACCACTAGAGAATCATATAATTTAAAGAAAAGTGGATAGATAGATAGATGATAGATTTTGAGACATGTGTTACTTATACATTATGTAAAGTTGTATGTGTGTGTATCCTTTACTAGTTTCATCTCTAAGACTTTACCAGGGATTGAACTCGAGTCCTTGCACTTGCAAGGCAGGCCACCGAACCACTGAACTAAATCCCCAGCCCTCATCTATAAGACTTTTAAGTCAATTCAACACAGGAAGAAAACTATACATAAGTCCGGGTTCCTTCTTTCTTTCACTGTGTAGAACATGTGTCTTATTGGTAGCCATAATTCTTCAAATGGTACATTCAGGGCACATTATTTCCCTGTATTAGTTACTTTTCTTGTTGCGGAGACAAAATACTCAACACCCAAAGTTAAAGGAGAAGAGGTTTACTTAGCTCACTGTTTGTGAGGTTTCAGTTTGTAGTTGGCTGGCCCCAAGGCAGAGCTGCAAGGCAGAGAGGCATCATGGGGTAGAAATTGTTCATGGCAAGAAAAAGGCAGCAAGGCAAGCACCGAGCCACAAATGACAATAGCAGCTTCTCTCCGCCCCTTTTATATTTCATCTAGGATAGTTGCCAAAACAATCAGTTGACTAATTTAGTAACCCCACATATTTAATCCCAGCATCACACACTCTAGATCCAGCCACCTCTAAGAAAGCCCCAGCTATGACAGCTTGAAGCTTGGAGGGACATCTAGACAGAAGCCACAGCATTCCCTTTTGAGTTTTTAGAAATGTATTTTTTGTTTGTTTGTTTTTTGAAACAGGGTCTCACTATGTAGTTGAGACTGACCTGGAACTCACTATGTAGCCCAGGCTGGTCTCGAACTCACAGTGATCCTCCTGCCTCAGCCTTCCGAGTGCTGGGATTACAAGCATGAGGCACCACACCCAGCCAGAAATGTATAAAGAAAATCACCAAGAGTTTGACTATAGAGGAGAAGTAAAAATTTTTTCTTCTTTGTCGTAAAAGATGGAGAACATTCTTGCATTGTAGTCTTCAAAAAATATAATTCTAGCTCTGAAACAGGAAAATGACACTGATTGCTAATAATAATCATACAGGAAAGTAACTAGATATAAGGACAATACAAAGGAAAGCACATTTTTTCAGACTAGAAGATTGAGGAAGATCTAGACTTTTATGTGATGAAATTTTTAAATAAAATTTTGGAAGATTGTTTTCTAAGTTACTTTCTTCTTGGTGAGACAAAATACCCAACACCCAAAGTTAAAGGGAGAGAGATTTATTTTGCTCACATTCTGTAGAGG